GCCCCTTTGCCTTCTCCTCCTAAGTCCTCTCTTCCTGCTCTTCCCGACCCGGAGTCGGACTCTCTTCGTGCTGCCAGTCCTACTGCCACGCGTCTCCTTGCTACTGTCGTCACTGACCCTTCCTTTGAGTCCACTGCTGCGTCTGCCCTAGTTGCTGAGCTCGTCGACTTTGCTGCTCGCTGTCGTCTAGACTACGCTGCTAGTCTTGTCGTTGCGTCTGAGTCTGTCTGTCCTCCGTCCGTCGGGGGTGAGTGTGCCCTTGGCACGGACGTCCTTGAGGACAGGCAGGAGGAGTTCCAGTGTTTGGCTGCTGCTTCACCTCATCTCGTGTCCGTACTGCTTACCCCTGAGGGAGACCCGGATGCACTTGACATCCCGACTCCGCGCTCTTACGCGGAGGCGATAGAGGGTCCCTACTCCTCTCAGTGGCAGGCAGCTATGGACGCAGAGATGGCTTACTGGAAGTCCACAGGCACCTACGTTGACGAGGTTCCCCCGCCTGGGGCGAACATCGTCAGTGGCATGTGGATTTTCAGGGTGAAGCGACCGCCGGGTTCTCCACCTGTCTTCAAGGCACGTTACGTGGCTCGTGGCTTCAGTCAGCGGCAGGGAGTTGACTACTTTCAGACCTTCTCTCCCACCCCGAAGATGACCACTCTTCGGGTACTGCTGCACATAGCTGCTCACCGCGACTACGAGCTGCACTCTCTTGACTTCAGCACTGCCTTCTTGCAGGGCAGCCTGCACGAGGAGATCTGGCTGCGTCGCCCACCTGGCTTCACTGGGTCTTTTCCTCCTGGCACCCAGTGGAGCCTCCGGCGGCCAGTCTACGGTCTCCGCCAGGCACCGCGTGAGTGGCACGACACACTGAGGACTACACTTGCGGCTCTTGGGTTTGCTCCCTCTACTGCCGACCCGTCGCTGTTTCTGCGCACCGACACTTCTTTGCCGCCGTTCTACATCCTCGTGTACGTCGACGACTTGGTCTTTGCCACAGCTGACACTGCTGGACTCGCCCACGTGAAGTCCGAGCTGCAGAAGAGACACACGTGCACAGACATGGGTGAACTACGCAGCTACCTTGGCTTGCAGATCACCCGGGACAGAGCACGCCGCACCATTACCCTGACTCAGTCACACATGGTGCAGCAGGTCCTTCAGCGCTTCGGCTTCACGTACTCCTCGCCTCAGGCCACTCCTCTGCCTACTCGCCACTCGCTCTCAGCTCTGCCTTCGGATGAGTCCGTAGAGTCGAGTGGCCCGTACCCAGAGCTTGTTGGCTGCCTCATGTACCTGATGACCTGCACACGACCTGACCTCGCATACCCTCTTAGCATTCTCGCACGCTATGTTGCTCCTGGGAGACACAGACCGGAGCACATGGCTGCAGCGAAGAGGGTGTTGCGTTACTTGTGCAGTACGTCGGGCATGGGGCTTGTGCTTGGAGGGCAGAGTCCAGTGGTCCTCACTGGGCACGCAGACGCTTCTTGGGCTGACGACCAGGCTACGCAGCGGTCGTCACAGGGTTACACCTTCAGCCTTGGTTCCGGCTCTGTTTCGTGGCGGGCTACCCGCTCGTCTTCTGTTCTCGGCTCAAGTTGTGAGGCTGAGATCTACGCCGGGGCCATGGCTGCACAGGAGCTTCGCTGGCTCACCTACCTGCTGACTGACCTCAGAGAGCCGCCTCGTTCTCCTCCAGTGCTGTACGTAGACAACAAGGCCATGCTGGCCTTGTGTCGAGAGCAGAGACTGGAGCACAGAACGAAGCACATTGCTCTCCGCTACTTCCTTGCTCGTGAGCTACAGCAGCGTGGTCAGCTGCGGCTTGCGTACGTGGCCTCTCAGGCCAACACTGCTGATATCTTCACCAAGGCACTTGCGCCTTGTGATCATCAGCGCTTCTGTACTCAGCTTGGTCTTGTGCCTACCTTGACTCACTTGCTCACCCCTTGACCTTGTTTGTACTGTTGCATATATATATACACCTGCTCTTGCTTGTCTAGCCTTATATATATATGTAATCCTGCATTTGAACTGGCCTTGTGGCCTTGAACTTGTGCTCGGAATGTGTGGTGACTTTGTGATCCACCCTGAGCTTGCTTTGCTGTGCTTGACTGGTCTTGTGACCCCTTGTTCTCCCCCACTTTGCCTATGGGGGTGTGTCAGATTTATATGACATAGCTGCTGTAGGCTATAGTGGGGTAGCACATATGGGGTACAGTTTTCTAGGGTTTACATTTGTACCCAACTTTCCCTTAGTCCATCCATTCTCGTTTCTATTCTAACAAGTAGCCTGGGGTCAACATTCTTCGAAGCTGTAGCGTGGGTCAACGGCGATATTTTCGAAGATGAAGTGATGAGCTGGCAATAATGTCAGACGAACGCAGTTACACAGCCCTTGTAGGGCACAAAGCTTCGCAACTTACTTGTCGCACAGCTTTTGAAGGGGCACCACGCCCTTCACACCTCACCGAAATGCTGTCGTTACAGTATAACGAAACGCTGCGACGGGAAGGATAGGTCCCGCCAGCCATCGTCGCCTAGAGTCCACGCCCACCCGACTTGACGGTATTTCTTCATTCAAATCCTCAACTCCGCCGTGCAAAGCAAGCTTCCGTTCCCGAAGTCCAGCACTCCCGAGATCCATATCTGACGCCTTTGCCACGACCCGGGGTCACACATTGCGGGTCACACATTCGTTGAACGAATCATTTCAAGCATTTCCATATCTATCAGTTTTTTCATACCGTGACGAGTCGCCTTCAACGAGATGATCCCACGTATCAAAGCCGTCGAGTCGATAATACCGTATCCCGTCGCGCTCGCTTGGGCGATAATATCGACAATTCTCCTCTGCTCGCTCTCGATCGTCACCCTTCAGTTTCCCCACGGCTGCGGAGATAACGGGAATGTCTTGGCGGCAGAAGTAGGGCTCGCAGACGGAGGCGGTATGTTACCACCAGAAGGCGGTCTCACGATGCAACTTGCAGGCGAGCTTCGTCTTGAAGCCAAAAGCGCTGACGGTTCCGGCGATTCGCCGGCCAGAGGCGGTGCGGCGGGAGAGACAGACTCCTGCACTGATTGGTTGTCAACCAGCCGTCCAATTCAAGGCGCCGCGGGCCCAGATCCGTGGGCGTTTACGAAGGTAGTGTGATTATAGAAGCAGTAGCACTATTGGTTCCTTAGTAACCTCAAAGCCCTACTTTGGGCCCAGATCCGTCGCGGGGATGTGTGACAAGATCATCACTTCTCGAGACACGTGTGACAGATCATCCCAAAATTCAGAACGCAAATTTTACTCTGAAATCGCGGGATACCCCAAGGTCACCCTCACGAGGTATCCCGAGGTAAGCTGTGGGTAACCTGGGGGTGGCTTTTTGGGCCAAACATTTTTGGGATGTTAGGTCACATCTACTACGTAACATTTCCGTGACAACGCAGGTAACATCTTGGCCGGTACTTTCAACCATGACTAAAAAACGCCGACAAATGTGTCACGCAAAAGTCACATTTCGCACATTTTTTTGTGACTCTTTGCACTTGCCAATTTCACAGTGGTGGGCGTTTACTAAGGTAGTGCTAATACTAGTCAATACCTCTACTAACTTGAATTATTCGCTTAGTGGATTGAGCATTTTCAACTTTGAATAATTCCCTTAATGATGCAATCCCTCTCTCTTCCCTTCCCCTGCCCACCTCCCCCACAATACACGCAATGGACACCCCGCGTTTCCCCGTGCCTGGTAGCGGGGCTGCCTATAGAGGAGCTCGATGCGCACCTGAATTTCCGCCGGGGGTGGACGCTCGGGTTCGTGGAGGACGTGGATCGTACAATGCACACGAGGTGGGTGGTAGTAGTAGCACTGGTAGTATAGGATTTTCAACCTAGTAGTGCTCCAACCAGTTAGAACCAAACACATCCGCGCCTGTTCGCCTTCTTGTGTTGAACCAAACTCCCATTTCCCCTTGGAATTTTCCAAATTTGCTCTCAAAATTCAATTTGCCCTCAATCTGCAGGAAGCGGAGGGTTTATATTGACCTCGGAGCCAAGACGTTCGACACGAGCGTGACCTGGTTTCTCCAGATGTACCCCCTCGATTTCACCGAGATTCATGCGGTGGAAGCAAATCCAGGCGTGTTTCAAAAGCCAGCTGCAAAAATGACGAAGGTATGCAATGCATATAAAATACTTCAAATTGCATAATGGTGGGGTCAGTAAGACATTGGAATAGCAAACAAGGGCCGGGAGAGATCGTGTGTAGCTGGGGGTGGGGGATGGGGGTGGGGATGAAATTTGAAGAGTGGAGGGGGGGTTCTTGGGGTTGGGATAGGAGCGGTTTAAGGGCAAAAAGTGGTGTACAGATGCGTGTTTTTCCCAGTCAAGTTGATGCTAAAGCTGTTAGCTTTCTTTGACAGATGAAGTGACCAGCAGCGTAGGGCCCTCCAGGGTTAATTGCTCAAAGCATGTTCCTTGAGATTTGTAAAGTGGGAGTGAATGCGTGAAATCAAGTCAATCGGAAAACATATGCCTCACGTGCAATTTAGGCATACGCATCCCCCCGTTACGCATCCCTCCACGCGCCAATCAATTCCTTAAACCACCCCTCAAACCCCATATCCCTCCCTGCTTTCCTCAACCCCGTTCCCCCCTGATTCACCTCTCCTGCCACGTTAAGTACATATAATCCTATAGAGAATGTCAAGAGTTAACGAATCCAGTAAAGAGTTCTGATTACCCCTCTTCATCCCCTCAAAACCCTTCTTCACCGCTCTGAACTGCTTCAGGTACTGGCAAATGGTTTGGGCCTGGATTCCCGTCTGCGTCCGAGACGCGGAGGCCCTGCAGACTTCCCACAGTGGTTGCTGCAACGCGTTCATCCGTACAACTTCTACGTCTCTTCCCAAGACAACCAAGAGAAGGTGAATAGATGAAGAAATGGAGAAATAGGGGCACCGATATTAAGCCGTACAGGATCCTTTCTGTTTCGTCCCTTTGGCGTATGTATCGCCACCCGTTACTGCCTTTCTGCTCTCTTCCTCCATTTCCTGCTCGGTTCACCCCTCTTTCTGCTCTCTTCCCCTTTTTCTGCTCACATCACCCCTCTTTATGCTCTCTTGATGCCCTTCCTGCTCGCCTCACCTCACCCCTAGTTCTTCTCTATTCCCGCCCGTTTCTGGATGAGGGTAGTGGATGAGGGTAGTGGATGAGGGTAGTGGCTGAGGGTAGTGGATGAGGGTAGTGGATGAGGGTAGTGGAGGAGGGTAGTGGATGAGGGTAGTGGCTGAGGGTAGTGGATGAGGGTAGTGGATGAGGGTAGTGGAGGAGGGTAGTGGACGAGGGTAGTGGAGGAGGGTAGTGGAGGAGGGTAGTGGATGAGGGTAGTGGATGAGGGTAGTGGATGAGGGTAGTGGATGAGGGTAGTGGAGGAGGGTAGTGGAGGAGGGTAGTGGAGGAGGGTAGTGGAGGAGGGTAGTGGAGGAGGGTAGTGGATGAGGGTAGTGGATGAGGGTAGTGGATGAGGGTAGTGGATGAGAGTAGTGGATGAGGGTAGTGGATGAGGGTAGTGGATTTCAGGTGGTATTCCTTTCCTCTTCCCCCCTCCCTCCTCCCGTCTTACTCCTCCCCTCGCTCCCGTCTTTCGAGTCTTCGACATGAGGAAGGTTGGCACGCAAGGAGGTCTTTTCGAGACTGAAGGTTTTATGAGACTGAATGTAGTGTTGAGACATCTTATAAGTCATGAGAAAGGTTGGCACGCAAGGTCTATTCGAGACTGAAGGTTTTATGAGACTGAATGTAGTGTTGAGACGTCTTATAATTCATGAGGAAGGTTGGCACGCAAGGAGGCCTATTCGAGACTGAAGGTTTTATGAGATCTACCTTTTTCACAGTAGCTTTACCCTGTTGGTCATGTTGCTAAAGCGTCTTCTTCACGTACTGCTGCCCTTCAATTATGAGTCAAGAAGACTTTCTAGGCTCTGACATGAGGAAGTGAGGCTCTGACAATTGTGTTGCGACGTCTCAAAAGTCATGCGGAAGTTTTGAGGGGTCTCAAAAGTCATGAGAACGTTATAAGACGTCTCATAAGCATGAGGAAATTTTGGCACGGATGTGGCTGTTCCCCTTCCCCTTTTGTGAACGGGACCAGGTGAAATCTGGACGGGCTACAACTGAGGAAGGGGCACTGAGTGACTCTCTTTACCTACTTTCCTCCCATCTCACTCCTCCCCCTCCCCACCTCTTTCTACTGAAATGCAGTGAATGTGACCCTGAGCTACAGCTGAAGCAGGACAATATTTTCTAGTCGACTCAGCTACAGCTGAAGCGGGACACCTGTAGTTAAAAAAAAAAAAGAAAAATCATCTCGCTGATCAGAAGAATGAGCAGCAAGAAGGATAGCAAGTGCAGGGATATTTTTTAGTTCTTTGAGTTTTTTTTTTTAGAATTCTAAAAAAATCCCAGCAGGAAGGATAACAAGTGCTACCATCCTCTTATTCCAGAACCCAACGAGTGTGGCCAGGTGCTGTTTGGACAAGCTGAAGCTAAGGGAGTAGCAGTCAATGACTCTCCTTACCTGCCTTCCGACTCCCTCTCTCCCATTCCTCCTCCCCCTCCCTTGTCCCATCTACTCCACCTCCCCTATCCCCCCTTCTCCCACCGCCTCTTCCTCTCTCTCCCCACTCTCCCCCCCTCTTTCCACCACAGCCAAGTGAACGTGACGAGGTGGTGTCTTGACGACCTGCAGTTGAAGGAAGAGGAATCAGTCTTGCGCTTCCCTCTCTCCCCTCTTCTCACCCCCTCCTCCCCTGCTCCCTCCCAGAACATGGTCAACGTGACGAGGTGGTTTCTGGACGACTTGCAGCTGAAGGAAGAGGACTCGGTCGTGGTGAAGATGGACATTGAGGGGCACGAGTGGGCGATTCTGCAGCACTGGCTCTCTAATCCCCGCATGGCAGCGATTGTAGACGAGCTATTCGTCGAGGTGCATTATCATCACCCAAGCATGACGGTGTTCACTTGGAATGAGGCAACCTTTGGTCACACGCGTGAGGAGACGACGGGGTTGCTGACTGATCTAAGGAAAGCTGGTTTCTACGTGCACCCTTGGCCGTAGATGGTGCAGTGTAAATTCCAGCTTATAGCATTACAGTGCTGCGTGATGTATTGCTAGTTAACTCAAAAGGTGCACACCGATGTAATATATGAGCTGTTTGGCAGTAGCAGCTGTTTTTTTGCAGCCAAAAGCTAGGATCGAACGAAGGCTGCAGGTATCTTATTGTATAATACCATCAACGGTCGGATCCACCCCTTCAGCCACTCCATCCCTATTGCGAAGCCCCGCAGTTCTCAAAACAGCCCGTTAACAACAATGTTGGCCTTCACTTGTTCCTATGCATGCCAATGGTATGCCAACCTGAACGAGTGTGTGTGCCCACATATTAGCAAACACATGTGTGTGTGTGTGTGAGTGTATGTCTGTGTGTGTGTGTGTGTGTGTGTGTGTGTGTGTGTGTGTATGTGTGTGTGTGTGTGTGTGTGTGTGTGTTGTCAGTTCACGATGACCTTATGTGTTCCTTGTCTTCAGAACGGCTTTGATGACTGCATGCATATACCTATGAGCTGCTACGAATTTCCATGTTTATATTCTGTACCAGGTATGCGCAGACTGGTTATGAATCTAGCAGATTCAAATTCTGTACAGTATTGGGGCACAAGGGGAGCACCCGGTTTTGCAGGGGGCACCAGCGCACCCATGTCCCACCCAGGGCACCGCCAAATCACTGACGCCAACTGTGCGAGATGCAGGGTGCGGCTCCAGACGCCAGGCCGCCTCCCTGCTTGATTGGAGGATAGAATCAGCGCAGCGCGAATGTCGAGCAGCAATTGCTTCATTTCATGTGCTGTGTTGTTGTGTGCATCACGTAATGTCCTCCACATTCTGCCCTTCACTCTAGAGTCTGCAATGTTCAGTTGAGGCATTCTGAAGAGACGCAGCGGAGACCCATGCGTTCTCTTATCATCATCCCCTTATCACGGGCAGTCGCAGTTACACATCCCCCATGCACAAAGCACGTACCGTCGACAGCACATACCTCTGACGCGACTGTCGCGTCGTTACCGGAAGGATAGTTCCCCGTGAGCCGTCGTCGCCTAAAGTCCACCCGCGCCCGTCGTATTTCTTCATTCAACTCCTCAACTCCCGCTGTACAAGTAGAATTCTCAACTCGCGAAAAAAAAAAAAAAAAAAAAAAGAGCTGAAGCCTTGCCCACGTGTCACGTGACATTCCGCCCAACGAATAATTTCCAAGTATTTTTGAAATACCTCGTTTTCATACTGTGACGAGTTCTGCGGCGCCTCAAAAGTCATTTCCGGAAACCCACGTTTTTTATACCGTGACGATTCGGAGTCATTTTCAACGATGATATCACGTATCAAGGCCGTAGAGTCGATAATACCGTATCCCGTCGCGCTCGCTTGGGCGATAATCGCGACAATTCTCCTCTGCTCGATCTCGATCGTCACCCTTCAGTTCCCGCACGGCTGCGGAGAGAACGGCAACGTCTTGGCGGCAGCAGTAGGGCTCGCGAATGGACCACCGTGGTTTCATGCTGCATATCACAAAAACCCCGCTTTTGGATTGGTCCAAAATTGGTCAAACATTGGTGTGTCCGTCCTAGATTGGACCAATTTTGGACTTTTATTTTGGTCCAAGATTGGTATAGTTGCAAGGTTGAATGTTGGACTATGTTTGGCCAAAATTCGTCTTGAGTACAGCACTAAAATTGGTCTAAAGCAAGTACCAGTTTTGACCTGTATTTGTCTAAATTTTGTCTAAATCTGGTATGTAAGGATATCCATGATAGGACGCAGATTCATATTCTGTTTTCCATAATTACCAGTAGTTTTATTGTACAATTTGTTATATGAAAAAAAAAGAATATACAATCGTACACAGGATTACACAATCAAGACATCGGTATCGCTACGAGGAGCACTATCAAGGCAGAGCGGCGCTTGGAGCAAACGCCGACGCCTGCCTGATGGCCAACGCCTGCATGAGCAAAGGCGGACGACTGCTTGAGTGAAGGCCGACGACTGCTTGAGTAGCCGATGCCTGCTTGAGTAGCCGATGCCTGCTTGAGGCCAAGGCCGACGCTTGATAGCTTAAGACACATGCACAGAGCACAAGGGAAACATTACGTTTAAAAAAATGAACGAAGAAATGGACATACCGTCAAATGTCAGCCGTAGAACTGCTATCTGCACAAGAAACAAATATTAGCACGAGGCAGAAACACGAACATGAGCACTTTACACTAGTTAGACAAAACAAAACAAAAAAGGGCACGACACAGGGAGACGCCGACTCACAAACCCGAAACCAGGCAGTATCGCCAGTTAATTATCAAGCCCTGCACAGACGACACGAAAAAACGAAAGAATTGCACGCCCTGTCAGCAGAACCTAACACCTTGCAAGAACGACAGAAAACTATATCTGATAAGCAGAGTTAGCGCACAGGACACACGCAGATAGTATAGATGAGGCTGCAAAAAAGAACCTCGTAAGTCAACATAAAGCAGTCGCGATGGCTAAAGGAGGGAGGCAAAGTGGCGAGGATGCCGTAAGGCAGGCACGCACCGCATGGCATGAGCCGTAAGAAGGTGCCTACATATATGAATGTTAGCAAGCCGTCAAGAGAGAGATACTAAGGAAAAAGAAACTACTTGAAAGCGTACAGACTCACGTAGAGCAACAATCTACTGCTGCTGGAAAAACGACCATAAGATGGACAGTTGAGAGAGCTGGAGCAGTTGCGATGGGGATGGGGGGGGGAGGGAAGGGAATTTTGCAGCGCTGGAACCTGCCTAACAGTTGCGCGGCTGCCTGCGGGCACTGCTGCAGTTGCGCCAGAGGCAGTTACAGCAGCTGCGCAGTTGCGCCAGCGGCAGTTACAGCAGCTGTGCAGTTGCGCTGGGTTTGGCAGTTGCGCCCAGTTGAAATGCGCTGGCTTCGCCACGTTCAGGGCACTGGAGCGGCTGTGCTGGTTTGGCAAGTTCCGCAGTTGCGCTGGAAGCATCTTCAGCACAATTGGTCGGTAAAGTTGCGCGGGCAGTCTGGTTCTAGCAAGCTCATCGCACGGCAATTTTTGTAACGAATCACAATCTTTCCGTATCGCCAACCTTTGTCGCTGTAAACAATCTGAACCAATGAAAGCTCAAAGTGACGTGGATGTTGTAAACATCGCTAATTGGGATGGAAAACAACAAGTGCGACAGCTCCCTGTTAGTCCGTGTCGCGTCAAATGAAACGTCGTAATACACTACGTTACAAGATAGCTAACAATCCGACTAAAATGCAGCAAATTTTTTACAATCATACAAGTGAAGTTACAAATTTTATAAAAATGCACATCTATGGTGGCAAATAAACTCCCAATACTACAAAAGTGACAAGAATGACATATTTTTATTCAAATCCAAACATATTTGGTTTATGATACAAATAATAGCTGGTATATATAGATTCATCGACAGTAAATATCCGTTTAAACATTAACAGCCCTACCTTGTCACGTACGTTGAGGGGTTAATTCCTTACACTAGTATCAAGAGAGTTTACTCTCTCTCCGTACTCGTGCATGGATAGGCCAGTGTAACACTAAGTGTCGTTTCAACATCTCATTGTATTTTTTAGCATGGTTTCTTTCGATTGTTGAGACATGAATTATATTACAAGCATTGTGAATTAAGAAAACAGGAATGAAATGACTAAGTGAAAGTTGGGTACAAAAAGCAAACCCTAGAAAACTGTACCCCATATGTGCTACCCCACTATAGCCTACAGTAGCTATGTCATATAAATCTGACACACCCCCATAGGCAAAGTGGGGGAGAACAAGGGGTCACAAGACCAGTCAAGCAAAGCAAAACAAGCTCAGGGTGGATCACAAAGTCACCACACATTCCGAGCACAAGTTCAAGGCCACAAGGCCAGTTCACATGCAGGATTGCATATATATATATATATAAGACTAGACAAGCAAGAGCAGGTGTATATATATATGCAACAGTACAAACAAGGTCAAGGGGTGAGCAAGTGAGGCAAGGTAGGCACAAGACCAAGCTGAGTACAGAAGCGCTGATGATCACAAGGCGCAAGTGCCTTGGTGAAGATATCAGCAGTGTTGGCCTCAGAGGCCACGTACGCAAGCCGCAGCTGACCACGCTGCTGTAGCTCACGAGCAAGGAAGTAGCGGAGAGCAATGTGCTTCGTTCTGTGCTCCAGTCTCTGCTCTCGACACAAGGCCAGCATGGCCTTGTTGTCTACGTACAGCACTGGAGGAGAACGAGGCGGCTCTCCGAGGTCAGTCAGCAGGTAGGTGAGCCAGCGAAGCTCCTGTGCAGCCATGGCCCCGGCGTAGATCTCAGCCTCACAACTGGAGCCGAGAACAGAAGACGAGCGGGTAGCCCGCCACGAAACAGAGCCGGAACCAAGGCTGAAGGTGTAACCCTGTGACGACCGCTGCGTAGCCTGGTCGTCAGCCCAAGAAGCGTCTGCGTGCCCAGTGAGGACCACTGGACTCTGCCCTCCAAGCACAAGCCCCATGCCCGACGTACTGCACAAGTAGCGCAACACCCTCTTCGCTGCAGCCATGTGCTCCGGTCTGTGTCTCCCAGGAGAAACATAGCGTGCAAGAATGCTAAGAGGGTACGCAAGGTCAGGTCGTGTGCAGGTCATCAGGTACATGAGGCAGCCAACAAGCTCTGGGTACGGGCCACTCGACTCTACGGACTCATCCGAAGGCAGAGCTGAGAGCGAGTGGCGAGTAGGCAGAGGAGTGGCCTGAGGCGAGGAGTACGTGAAGCCGAAGCGCTGAAGGACCTGCTGCACCATGTGTGACTGAGTCAGGGTAATGGTGCGGCGTGCTCTGTCCCGGGTGATCTGCAAGCCAAGGTAGCTGCGCAGTTCACCCAGGTCTGTGCACGTGTGTCTCTTCTGCAGCTCGGACTTCACGTGGGCGAGTCCAGCAGTGTCAGCTGTGGCGAAGACCAAGTCGTCGACGTACACGAGGATGTAGAACGGCGGCAAAGAAGTGTCGGTGCGCAGAA